AGAGTGGTTGTAACAATGGGCCATAGCAACCATTGTGAGGATGGGACAGGACCTGGCAAACTTTCATTTGTACGTGAGGTTACTGGGAGTCGGAACCGACTTGGCACCTAACAAAATCATGAGTCTGAACCGACTGGACAGCACAAGAAGTGATGTCTTGGGGGCACAATGGCTACATGCTAAGTTGGCAGCTGGAACCTACCAATGGCTCCTGAGACAAAGACCTGGCCGTTCGCTCCCAAACCTGCTGCCATGGATTCAAAGGACAAAGTAGAACATAGTTTCCAAGGCTATAATCTCTAATGGGGGCAACTGCCACATTTTCCTCCCCATGGTGGGTCCGAACTGCTGACCTGGCTTGGAAACACCGACCTTTTAGTTATCCACCACGTGCTTGAGCTCCGAGCTCCCTTGTAAAGGCTACACCTTGGAAAACTTACGGGGCAGTTCTGCTCTGTCTCCTGTGTGTAAGAATTGACTCGACAGCACCTAACAACATGGAACAAATCTGTCCTTCAACAACTGCAGCTGTAATGCTCCTTAGAAGCCAGAATGGCCAGACGTCCTTTCTCCTTCTGTGGTCATGTTGTCACAAGGGACCATTCCCTGGAGAAGGCTGTCATGCTGGATAAAGTGGAGGGTCAGAGAGAAAGGGGAAGGCCCTCAAGGAGATGGATTGACACAGTGGCTGCAAGGATGGGCTTAAGTATAACAAGGATTGTGAGGACTGCACCGGACCAAGCAGTGTTTTTTTCTGTCACGATGAGTCAGTCAACCCTGTGGACATACCAAAAACAGTGATGGCTTTCCTCATTCCAGTTATCCCTATTCATGTCCATTTTTGCATGTTTTCTTTAGAAAGCCTCTCCAAACTGCAAGTGCCCCGTGGCCCCAGTGGCCCGCAGGGCAGGGGGCTTCGCTGGCAAAGGGCGCCTGGGCAAGGGTGCAGAAGCTGCGGGAGGGAGAAGGTGGCCAGCCACGGTAGGGCCAGGCGCTCCTCTGGCTGTCTTCTGGTGACAGAGAGGAGCAGCCCATGGGACATGCCCCTGGCCCAGGCTGTGTCCCCATCTCTTGACCCTTGGGCGGGGTCGCCAGAGGGCGGGGTCGCCAGAGGGCGGGGTCGCCAGAGGGCGGGGTCGCCACGTGACATACAGCCATCTTTTTTCCTGGCAGAAACGTCCGACAGCGGCGTCATTTGGCCCCACTGCGCAGGTGTATGCGAGAGCGCCGGCGTGCAGCAAAAGCGCAGGCGCAGGAGGACGCGCTGCCGCCCGGCTTGGGCGCATTCTTCTTACGTCGGGGGTTGTTGGCTACTCTTTCCGAGGTGAGGGACGTGGGGGCCTGGGGGCGGCGGGTGGGCGCGCCGTCCAGGGCCTCTCTTGGATCAGCTTGCCAGGCTGAGGCTGCAGGAGGGCGAGGTCGGCTTCTCGGAGCTCCCCTGGGCCTCAGTTTCCCCGTGTGGGCCGCCCCCGGCTTCCCGCCAGCGGCTGGATGAGCGAGAGGTGAGGAGGTTTGTGGCCTTGGGGGGTCGGCGCACCGGGACCGTCTGGGGCACGTGCTGGAAGCTGGCACGTCTTCTGCACCTCGCCCGATGGGACCATACCTTTCCGGACCCCTGGGGCTCGAGCGCTGCGGGGTTGAGGTGCGGTCTGGCGGACACTGGCACCTGCGCACGGAAGTCTCAGGCAGTGATAGCCATTCCCCCGGCTTTGGGCAGCAGAGTGAGTGACCGAACATGCGTATTGCAAGCAACTCGGTAAAGCAAATGGAAAATTAGAAAATAACGTAATAGGTAACCGTCCGCAACGACCGTGCGTTTACAAGGTGGGGTCGGCTTTCGTGGGTCCTCTCTGCTAATTGAGTACCTTACGACGGATCCACATTCACCTTTGCCCACATTCTGCCCTTTCATTGGCTCTGAAAGGACCAGGGTTCTTGGGGAAGCAGGATAAACGGTACTTGCCAAGGATGCATATTGATTCCCAAACGTAGGCAACACGTCTTGCACTCAAGTGGTGTTAGATGGACACCTGTTGTGTACAATCTCAAAATGGGTCTTGGGCGGAGAAACTGGAATTGAATTGATGTCTTTTCGCAAAAGGACAAGGATGAGTCATTTAACCCCCATTGGCTGGGTCTAGTTCTTTTGAAAAGAAGGGTGTGGTCTAAGTTTAAGGTTCCCAACACCTAAGTGTGTGCTTTATAAACCTTCTAGTGTTTTCCATACTCGTTTACACTTCTGTGGAAGGAGGAATGAACCTAAATTATTGAAAAACGCTTTACGAGTTCTTTCCTGTTCTTCTGGTGGAGTGAGTAGATAGGTAGGTTTGAGTTTAGGGAACTAGTGCTGCAGCTGGTAAAGGGGAGAGCTTGGACCTAAACTCACCACTCTGTGACCCCACAGCCCTCTTCTTCCTCACTCATAGCATAACAGGAAGAACAAAGTTGTATGTAGTAGGCAAAGTGTAGAAAAGGTTCTAATGACTTTTTTCTTTCTCCCATAGCTTTGCCTCAACATGGCAGCTCATTTGATGAGGACAGTGGCTGTATCTGTCGTGCACCCTCTCCTCCGTCTGAGTCATTGCCCCGTGAAATCCCGAGGCCTCTCCACCTTCCTGCTAGGATCCATGCGGAGTGCACTTCCTGTTGGCACAAGCCTCCTGAAGCCCAGTTCATTGGTTGAGTCATTTCTTTCAAACTATCTCATGCCACGTCTGCAGCCTGCTCTGGGGTTCAAAACCAAGGGCGTCATCAAGAAGCGCTGTAAGGACTGTTACCGGGTGAAGCGGCGAGGCCGGTGGTTCATCTACTGTAAAACAAACCCAAAGCACAAGCAAAGGCAGATGTAGCCACTTGGGCTTTAAAATGGTGTGCAGAATTATTTTAACGGGTTTACTTCATCAGAAGGAAAATAAAATTGAAATATTCTGTAGTTTAAGATTTTGTTGAACGTAAGGTTGTGTCGACTCTGCTCCCCTGGTATCTCAGCTGTTTTTCTCAGCCCAAATCGAGTACAGCCAGAGCCCCAGATGGGAACCAACTCATTTTTATCTTTCTTCCCTGCAAGGTGCATTTGTGTTTGGACTTGAGGACAGAGAATATAGTGGAAGGAAAGCTAGTTTTAGCCCCCAAGGTCAGAATGCAAGTCTTTAGATAGAACTGAATTCAGTCTGAAAGGTCATCAGATGCGGTAGCTCCCAGCCCTGTGCTGGAATTCAAAGACTGCTCCGTTTTATGTGGATTCAAACCTGTTGCCTCAGCAATGTTGTCTTTTGAGGATAAAGGTGTAAGTCCTTCCTGGCAATCTTTAGCTCAAGGGGAAGTTTGTTGCTGTAGAAAGTATGTTGTTGTTGTTGTTATGTGCCACTGAGTCATCTCCAACTCATAGCGACCCCTCCTTGGGTTTCCTTTCCGAGGCAATATCACTACAGAAATAGATTGCCCATTCTTCCTTCCAAGATAGAAAGTATAGTGGATATCCATTACACGTGTCATCCTTGGTCTGAGACCCCAGAGTAGCCATGCTTTCACACAGGAAGTTGATGTCTATTGGACTCTGGTGGGTGGTTTTCTACACAAAAAGGAGGAATTATAAAATAATATAGTGGTGGTTTTGCAAAGTAATCTACCGTGTCTGAAGGAAGTGTTAAACATGCCAACATTTTGGGAAATATTGTCAGTGTTCAGTCCTAGAAAGCCATGATCCTGGTCATTTGCTGTCATTGAAAACAGTTTCATCTGTGACTATGTATTTTGGTGGCCTGGTGAGAAAGTGACTCAGCATAAGTTTGATCGACTTGATGTTTAGTCTGGCACAGTTTGTGGGCCCTGGGCCATTGTAAACTACAGTGCACTGGCCTGCTGACCTTCAAATTATGCTATCATGGATGGCAGTGGGTATTTCTTCCTTGAAAATATTTTGGTGGTAGAGACAGTTGTTGGGATACCATTTTCCTGAAAGTCAATATAGGGATGCTCTCAGGATAATGATGATGATAAATGATTAAATGTGAAAATTTGGAGAACCAAGTATCATTCCCCGGGGTCAATAGTAGCTGTTACGTGCCCTTCTGTGTGTTAGCCTATTTGATCCCTGAGTCAGGATTTGGTGACTCCTGCAGGGAGGCAGTGGTGGCATGGGTGTGACAAGGAGAACCCCCAGGCTGGGCCATGTATACTAACTGATAATCACGTTATAAGAAGATAAGGGGATAAAAAAACAAACCCACTGCCTTTGAGTCAATTTTGACTCATAGCAACCCCCATTGGGTTTCCAAGGCTGTAAATCTTTACCTAAGTGGATTGCCTCATTTTCCTGCAGAGCAGCTGGTGGAATTGAACTGGTGATTTTCTGTTTAGGAGCCATATGCCTTAACTACTGGAGCTCCTTAAAGGGGTAAGGGAGGCAGAAAAGGTAAGTCAGATGATGTAAAATGTTGGCGTTGCAGGAAGGATACACACGTGCATGTTTGCACACATGAGCACTCACACACGTGCACTCACACAAGAATATTAAGCACTTAGGAATAGAACC